CACTATGATTGAGAGTTATTTTATTGCATGACTGACAGTTGAGTCAATTTCATATTGTTGTTTCTAAGGTCTGTTGTGCTCTTCAGCTACAACCCTAACAACTAATTTGTGTTTATCATGATGTGAATTATTATAATGAGTATATGCTATCTATCATGGGTTGTACTGAATTTTGGATTCATGTTTTGAGTATCCACGAATTTCATATATGTAAGTTTTATCCTTCCTTGATACTAGAAGTAATAATTGACTAATGCCTGAATTATGATTTTAGGGCTTTATCAGTAAATATTTGTGTTTTATTTTAGGTGGATATTTGTTTAAAGGCTCTCTTCAGTGTCGCTGTTGTTTTGAATAGGTTCTCATGCGCGCTCACATAATAAGCGTCGGGATAATTTTAGTGGGATATATTTTATATTTGACTTAGTTTTGTAACTTCTTTCGAGTCTCGGTCCTAAGACCACTCGTTGTTTGTTCAGCAGGTGATGGGGTCGAGGGAGCTCGAAATGAAAGGCTCTAAAGGGAAGATTAGGGTCGAGAAACTCGCCTATTTGTCGGGTCTGCGAGATTGGGAGCGAGACAACCTACCCAAGGTCGATAATGACTTCTTCAAGGGCTATCATGTTTATGACTTTCTTGATAAGTTTGAGCAGGTAGCGTCCCACTGGAAGTGGGAGAAGGAGTAAATGTAAAAAAAAGTTAGAAAGGATATCCATATAGATTTGAAGGAGGAAGTCAGTGGGTTGATTAGAAAAGCAGGGCCATCATGGATAAAATTTCATAATGACGTGTGGGATACATACCGGCTACATAAAGAAAAACCGACCAAAGATGATTTTGAGAAGATAAATCGGTTCAACTATGTGTAAGTAGGGTATTTTTTGGCAAAGTATGAGAGTGTTTTTCGCAAGGTTTGGGCGCTGTCTGAATATGACAAGTGTTTCGTCTTCCTTATGAACGTTTCGGACGCAGAGCAGCGAGATTTGATTCGTAGGACAAAAGGAAGACTCATATGAGACAAAATACGAGAGAATTTTGTAGAAATATATTTTGATCAATACCTCTGTCATACTCTGTGGGAAGCAAAAAGAAGAAAGGAGACTCGAGATAATGAGAAGAGTGAGTTTGACAAAAGACCAAATGACTTTGCAGCAGGTGCCTCTGAGGGTATGAAAGGTGAATTTCAAAAGGACGCTAAGAGCGTCACGAAGAATCATAGATGGAGTAAAGAAGAAAAAAAAAAAGTTATGTATTGAGAGAAAAAAGGTGAAGGCTAGAGTGAGGAACGTCGCGACTCATACCTGTGATAGGACGATTGACGTCTCAAACAAAAAGAGGAAAGAAAACCGAGGGCGCCACAAAGAAGCTGGTATAGCCTTCCCCCCGTTGCAACTGATCCTAAAAAGGAATGTGATGACAATGAGGCATCATCAATTGCAAGTTTGACAGGGCAAAAAAATAGTAGACGGCGATAATAGTGGTCGAGATTGTATGGGGTTGTTGTGGGAAAGTCGGTCATATCCCTCGCAAATGCAAGAGAGCGAAAGATAGAATCGAAAAAGGAAATCGTTTGCCCTATATCAAGGTCAATTTTTCTCTACATCATCTCATTTATCTCATTTATGGTAAGAAAGAGGTAGAGTCGCGTCAGTAGTTTCAAACGACTTACATATAGACATTTGGACTGTTGTGACGGTACGAAAGACTCACTTGCTAAACTCATAAGCGGTTATTTATATTGCATTATCGTTAAGGCTGAGTCTATCAGCTTTCCGATGATATATGGGATCCACCTTGTATATAATTTTGATTTCGAGTATGGGTCATTATATTTTTGGGGGTGTGCATACGTACTGGATCTGACTATCAACTTTCTAAGCTTTGTTTCAGTTTTGGTAGGATACAAATGGGGGGCTTCTATAGTTAGGTTTTCCGTACGTTTGAGGCTCAATCACCTCCACGGGAACACTTGGGATTATTTTCTGTATATCAGTCAGTTACGACCTGTAGGGTATGCTATAAAAGGTCATTTATTTTTTATTGAGACATTGATTGATGATGATTTGAGATTTGTGATAATTTGAAAACTCGAGATGGACTGAATCTCTTATTGGAATCACTTTGGTATGAGTTTTAATCCCCTCAAATTGCAGATTCGTGCGCGTGTTGGTTGTCATTATCGTTCTCACCATTGTGACTTTGTGTTTTTTCCTATGTTTTATTTTTATTATCATATGAGAAAGAAAAAAATTCAAAAGTGTGGAAGAAAAATATGGCAAATCTTGAATGAAGTGTGCCCAAACCAAAGAGTGTTCGATGAAGTGAAGAAAACGTGACTATCAGTGAGATATTTATGGGAGACTCAGAGAGACAAAAAACTATATTGAGTTATAAATGAGAAAGAGGTCATCCCGAGGGCGGCATAAGTGGTTATTTCCTAGGCACCAGAGTGTCCCAGGGCCACTTGCCCGACCGGGCAAAAAAATAATAATAATAATAAATAAAAATAAAAAAAATGGACCCACCGTAGCGATCCTGTGGCGATGGGGACGGGGGGGGGGAAGAGAGGGCAAGGAGAAGGCGTTGGAGGAGGAGAGAAAGCGAGAGACGAGAGAAAGAGTGCAAACACGACTCTACGACCTTCCGCCCTCTCAGCCGTCCCCGCCCTTTCTTCCCCCCACCCGCATGGCCCGATTCCGCGCCCGCCGACAGGTGTGTGTGTGTGTGTGTGTATGTGTGTGTGTGTGTGTGTGTGTGTGTGTGTGTGTGAGAGAGAGACATAGATAGATAGATAGATAGATAGATAGATAGATAGATAGATAGAGAGAGAGAGAGAGAGAGAGAGAGAGAGAGAGAGAGAGAGAGAGAGAGAGAGAGTTCGTCCACCCCTCCTCAGACCCACCTCTCTCCTCCCTCCTCTCCTTCCGCTTTTCCCACCCGCATCCTGCGTGTTTGTAAATTCCCCCTCCCTGTTTTTCGTCACTCCTTGTCGTGCTCCTCTTCCTGCTCCTTGTCATAATCCTCCTCCCGCTCCTCCTCCTCCTCCTCCTCCTCCTCCCGCTCCTCCTCCTCCTCCTCCTAGCGCTCTTACCACTCCTCCTCCCCCTCCTCCTCCCCCTCATCCTCCCCCTCCGTCCTCCCTCTCCTCCTGCTCCTCCCACTCCTTCTCCCATTCCTTCTTCCGCACCTCATCCTGCTTCTCGTCCGCCCCTCCTCCTCTTGCTCCTCCCCTGGGCCTCCTCCCGTTTTTCCACGCGTTTGTTGTCCTGCTCCTTCTCCCGCCGCCTTTTTCTTTTCCCCACCCGAATGGATTAATCAGTCAGCCGCCTTTTTCTTTTCCCCACCCGAATGGATTAATCAGTCAATCAATAAACTTACCAATCGAATTGATTAATTGATTGATTGATCGACCGTGTATGTGTGTGTGTGTGTGTGTGTATGTGTGTGTGTGTGTGTGTGTGTGTGTGTGTGTGTGTGTGTGTGTGTGTGTGTGTGT